TGATGTGATGGACAAGACCCAATCCTAAGCATAGCATAAGATCGTGTAGTTCATTTTGCTAGAGCTTTTCCAATGTCAAGTATCTCTTCCTTAGACCATGAGATCGTGTAACTCCCGGATACCATAGGAGTGCTTTGGGTGTACCAAATGTCACAACGTAACTGGGTGACTATAAAGGTGCATTACAGGTATCTCCGAAAGTGTCTGTTGGGTTGACACGGATCGAGACTGGGATTTGTCACTCCATATTACGGAGAGGTATCACTGGGCCCACTCGGTAGTGCATCATCATAATGAGCTCAAAGTGACCAAGTGTCTGGTCACGGGATCATGCATTATGGTACGAGTAAAGTGACTTGCCGGTAACGAGACTGAACGAGGTATTGGGATACCGACGATCGAGTCTCGAGCAAGTAACATACCGTCTGACAAAGGGAATAGTATACGGGGTTGCTTGAATCCTCGACATCGTGGTTCATCCGATGAGATCATCGAGGAGTATGTGGGAGCCAACATGGGTATCCAGATCCCGCTGTTGGTTATTGACCGGAGAGCCGTCTCGGTCATGTCTACATGTCTCCCGAACCCGTAGGGTCTACACACTTAAGGTTCGGTGATGCTAGGGTTGTATGAATATGAGTATGCAGCAAACCGAATGTTGTTCGGAGTCCCGGATGAGATCCCGGACGTCACGAGGAGTTCCGGAATGGTCCGGAGGTAAAGAAAACTATATAGGAAGTGCTGTTTCGGCCATTGGGAAAGTTTCGGGGTCACCCGATATTGTACCGGGACCACCGGAAGGGTCCCGGGGATCCACCGGGTGGGGTCACCTATCCCGGAGGGCCCCGTGGGCTGAAGTGGGAGGGGAACCAGCCCCTAGTGGGCTCGTGCGCCCCCCTTGGGCCCCCCCCCTGCGCCTAGGGTTGGAAACCCTAGGTGGGGGGCGCACCACTTGCCTTGGGGGGCACTCCACCCCCCTGGCCGCCGCCCCCTTGGGAGATTGAGTCTCCCAGGGCCGGCGCCCCCCCTGGGGGCCTGTATAAAGGAGGGCAAGGGGGAGGGCAGCCGCCCCCCAAAGTCTTGGCGCCTCCCTCCCCCTACTACACCTCGTCCTCCTCCCGCAGCAGCTTGGCGAAGCCCTGCCGGAGTTCTGCTGCATCCACCACCACGCCGTCGTGCTGCTGGATCATCATCAACCTCTCCTTCCCCCTTGCTGGATCAAGACGGAGGAGACGTCACGCTGACCGTACGTGTGTTGAACGCGAAGGTGCCGTCCGTTCGGCGCTAGGATCTCCGGTGATAGGATCACGACGAGAACGACTACTTCAACCCCGTTCTTTTGAACGCTTCCGCTCGCGATCTACAAAGTGGTATGTAGATGCATCTCCCCTTTCACTCGTTGCTTAGATGAACTCATAGATGGATCTTGGTGAAACCGTAGGAAATTTTTTATTTTCTGCAATGTTCCCCAACAGGATTATCGTCATAACTACGCCCAATTCAATTAATTGCCCAACAGTAATTTGTTTACCCATCACTACCTTGCTTTCGAGAGAGTCTATTGATGAAAAGGGGTTGGGGAAGTCGGTGTTGCTGCACATGCAACAAAATTTATGATAAGAGGCTATGATCCAACTACTCGACACAACAATCTGTCAGACTGTGTCCTTAGACACCACAATGCAATCATATCCCACCTTAACTGGGGTGTGTATATTTCTAGGTCTGAATCCAATTTCAAATTAGGAATATAGAAATGCCATGAGGATTGGAAAATAAAAATAAAATATTTTGCAATAGGAACACCCTTATCATTTGAGCGAAGTGTAGGCACAGGTTCTAGAACCAGAAAAAATAGACATATCCTCAATTAACAAAAAAGTACAATCTCAATCGAAGCTTAAGAAACTACAACCAAAATTCAGGAAACAACAACCAGAATTCCCCCCCTAAACAATAAAATATGTTGACATGGGGAGGAACATATTTACTAGTTACATCATCCGCAATTGCATGAATCTCAAGATGTTCCTCAAACTAATCATATACTTTACGCCATAGAGAATTGAGAATTTTCATGTCTTTCAATTCTCGTACTCGTAATCGGAAAGCTATGGAAGGAGACATCATTTTTCAATGAAACCAACATATAAAACTTTGGGAAATTTAAAAAACAGAGGGAGTCGATTTCAGTGAATCTCGGCTAGGGGGGCCCCGAGCTAGTAGTCTAGATCCGATGGTAACAAGGACACAAGGTTTCACGCAGCTTCGGGCTCCCTCATAGAGATAATACACTACGTCCTTCTTGTGTTTGTATTGATTTGGGATGGAGTATAAAGTACAGGAGATCTACCATGAGGTTGTTGTGTTCCTGTCTACGAGCCCTTCCCCTCGGTTTATATAGATACTAGTGGCCCTACGGTTACGGATAAGTCGGCTACACATATGGTAATCGTGAAGTCTTCGAAAATATTCCTTCTACATGCCATGGGTCTCGTGGAGATGGCCTCCTGGTGAACCACCATGGAGGGTCCTCGGCCCGGCCCACCTAATCGAGAGACGACGTGGTGAGTACCCCTTGGTACAGGTGTCCCTCTCCAATTCCCTGTAAACCTGCCCATTTCGCCGAACAAGCTGCTTTGGCAAGACCTTGACGTAGCCCCAACCACTACCACCTTTGATTGACATTGGTATCACGTTCCGCGAGGGGCGGGCCTGAGGGCCCACAAGTGAGCTTGGTGGTTGAAGGCGGTGTCGCATCCGGTGAGGGCAAGCTAGAGGGACCGATGATGGGCATATGCTCGAGATGGCACGTGAGTGAACGAGCTCATGGCAACCGATGAGTGGGTGAGTTTAAGGCAGCGTTGCGATGACGAATTTGACGAGACTAAAGGTGGCATGCTCGGGTGGTGAATGGTCATGTGGTTTGTGGTTTTCATAGTTTCTCAATGTGACAATTCAGTATTGTAGATTGAACTTGTGATAGATGCGCTCTGCGCGGGCGATATTGATACACCTTTCGTGCTCCGGCCCTGGCCATGTCAGTACCTAGGCAAACGGGCCTGGGCAAGTCTCTCTTGGGTGAGGTGGTAGTCGGCCATGGTGTTTTCCGGCATCGGAGTTGATCCTTATGACAACCACTCCGGTCTACATCGGCGAAAAAACAATGGATTGCGGTGGCCACCAAAAGGTCTTCCTGAAGATTTCCTTTTCCGGACCCAACGCTTGACTTCGGCTATGAGATGCAAAGAATGGACGACGACCCGAAAGGGATGGTTGTGCAGCAGAGGCGGTCCAGATCGCATGTAACTGTTGGGATCATGGAGAAGTGGTGACAACAACATATAAATGACTTCGATGATGGTGCTACTCGAGCACCCGGTCTCGAGTTTTGGGGCAAAAGCCTAGGTTTGACTCATGTTGATTTTATCTAGCAATGACGATGTTTTTATGTCGTTATCTTGTCAATGAGATTGCTCGGATATGCTCGAAATGGTTTAGTGTAAAAACCTAGATCCTAGCATCATTGATTGGGTGGTTGGAGCGGATGAGATTGCTCGGATATGCTCGAAATGGTTTAGTGTGAAAACCTAGATCCTAGCATTGATCTTAGCACTGATTGGGTGGTTGGAGCGGGTGACAGCGATGATTGAGCGTCGCTCTCTTCATAAAGGCAATCTCATTGTCAGTGTTGTTGGTTTTTTCATCTTATATGATGTTGCTATTTGATTGATATATTTTTTGTTTTGTTTTATATGGCGTTGCTATTTGTTGTTGGCATGCCGACCGTGTCCCTGGTTCTTCCTCTAAGCATATCTTTGGTTCTTCGTCTTCGTCTAAGCACATATGTGGTTCTTCGTCTACGATGCATAGCTTTGGATCAAAACTTGCGACAGTCCTGAAAAGGTCATCCCTCCCAAAATTGGTTGTGCAAATAGCACCAAGCGCTAGTGGCACTATCCATGTTTTTTTTATTGTTAGCACCATTACTTTATTTATTTTTTGTCAGAACAGCTTTTGGGGCAACCACTTCCACATAGTAATTCGCGGCCAACCATTTGAAATAATTCAACTACACAAAATAGTGAATTCTTGGCAGAAAAAATTCTAGCTCCCATCTGTTTATTCAGCAGGTACATTTCATTTAGTTATTTATCATTCTTCCTGTTCTTTTGTGTGGGTTTCCCTGTAATTTTGTTTTACATTCTTTTGTCACGAATCACTTATTTTTTACTTTTTAAGGGGGATTTTTTTTTACTAGGCAATACAAGAGTAGTACTGTACTCTTCGGTGTGGAAGAACCGAAGTACTTGGCCTGGCAATTCATAAGCCCAATTCCTTTCACGGAGCACCAGAAAGTAGGCCCACGACATGAGCCACCACGGCGGGGCGTCTCAGGTTTAGTACCACCTCGCGAACTGGAGAAGGACGGTAGCCGGAGAGCCGCCTATATAATAGACGCCTTAGGCACCGTTACAAAGCACTTACCTGGACGGGGTCAACAGCTGATCAAGAAGAGCTGTGGCCTAGATCAATGGCTCACATTGCACCTTGTTGAGTGCGTTGGCCTACCATCTCCCTACGGGAGAGTGGACGTCATAATTTGTGCTAGAGGGGGTACGCGTTCGCGCGGCCCCTGCCAAACTTTAAAAATTAAAATTTGGTCCTTAGCAGCGGTTGTTCATGCTTTCTGTGCTGCCCCTTTCAATCTTCCAAATCTGTTTCCGGTCCTTTCTGCTCCTGTTTACGATGGATGCTCGTCCACTTGCCGTAAATTCTTGACGCAAACACGATTAGAAGTGCCAAATGCCGTAGCAGCTATATGGCGCATACAGCACACTTCTAAACTACCGTACAGAATAGACTAGCATTACAGTACAGACTGCTAAAGTAGAACACACGGTACAGATTACTACCACTAGTACACGCTAATAAAAGAGGAGATGGCATGTCACGCTAGGAAGCCGTGACTGCATGCGTAGGCGCGGTGCTTTTAGCCTTTAGGCGATGTCGATGGAGCGGACGTTGCGCTGCTTCTGGGCCTCCTCGTCCTTGGGCACGACGACCCTGAGCACGCCGTCCTGCATGGTGCACCGGATGCCGTCCGCCTTGGCGTTCTCCGGCAGGCGGAACCGGCGCATGAAGGACCCGAAGCTGCGCTCCACGCGGTTCCAGGCGTCGCCCTTGTGCTCCTCCTCCCGCGTCTTCTCCCCGCTGATCTTGAGCACGTTGCCGTCCTCCACCTCCACCTTCACGTCCTCCTTCCTCACCCCTACACGCACGGCAGCAACATCAATGGATCAGATGGAAAGCTTTTTTGTGAGGCCGCCTTAACAAAAGAGACACGGGACACCACGTACGTACCGGGGATCTCTGCGGAGAAGATGTGCTCCTTGTCGTTCTCATGCCAGTCGACGTTGGTGCGAGCCATGGCGGTCGCGTCGTCACGGCTGCCGCCTTCGCGGCGGCCGCCGTCCAAGGGCCAGGAGGCGCCGAAGGGGTCCCAGAGGTCGGAGGAGAAGGGGTCCATCCCTCCCCGGCCACCGCCGAACCAAGGCATGAGCGACATGGCTGACACGCACGGTGGTGTTCAGTTGACACGATGCCCCACGAGACAGGTATGCTACCGGGCTGTTTGTAGTGGCAAGAGCGCTTCCACCTGGGCGGTTTTATAGTGCTCCAGATGCTTGCATGCATGGCCGCGTGGAGCATCGGCTTGACACGTTCGCTGTGTACGTGCTGCCCGCGTGCACAGGTGTTGCCGCATCGAGGACTCGTGTGATGCTTTAGCATGCGACGAGGCTGCCTTCGCAGTTCGCACCGCACCCACATCAGGCGTGCATGCACGACGGTGGCGCGAGGCTGGGTTGGGGGTTGCCACTTGGTGAGACGAGATACTTTCTCTCCGTGTCATGCATTTGTACGTGGTCGAGGCCGACGATGGTAAAACAGTGGACTCTCGAATCACCAGCGACGGTCCGGATCGCGTAGTTTAGACGTGTTCTGCCATTCTAAGCGGGCCTGTATAGGTTCATAAAGCAGTCCTGATATTTTTTTTTTCTTGAATCCGAGACAAATGGAGGGCATTATAAGAGTCTGAACAGCAGATACGTAGGATTCTGACATCTCTGACGCACCTAAAACATCACCAAAACTCCTCCCGGACTGAGCGCCTTTATCCTTCTATTTTCTTTTCTTTCTTTTTCTCTCTTGCCTTCATCGTCGTTCCAACCACCCCGGCCGCCCTGTCATACCCATACCGGAGCTCGGGAGTCCGTCACCTCTAACGATACACTTGGGCTCCAAGCCGCTTCTCATCCGCCGCCGTTCCATACCTCTCCTCCGATCGCTGCGCAGGTATCATCAGCTCCTACAATACTCATCATGTCCGATAACTGTTTGGTGAAATGCCTGTGCTAATTTTTTTTGTCCTTTCTTCTTTGAAGCAATGGATTCAAATACGAAGTACATATATGAGCACTATCTTGAGTTGTCCAACAGCTTATCTGACAAGGAGGATTACACGGATTTTAAGACGGCGATGATGCAAGTGGTCCTTGCCGGCAAAGCATGCGAAAGAGCATGTTCTCAATTTCGAGGGATCGAAATCAAGGGTCATCGAGTGCTCAACCGCAACAGGACGCGCGACCATTTGACGCTGATGGACGACTACTTTGCCCCCGATGCTCTCTTCACCGACAATTTTCATTTGCACTTTCGGATACACAAAAGTGTCCTTTTACCATGACGTCCGGTCCTTTGATGACTACTTCATCGTGAAAAAGGACGCCGTGGGAAGGATTGTGTTCTCTGGTTACCAGAAGTGCATGGGGCGCACTACGAATGCTTGCATATGACATGACCACTGATTCCTGGGACGAGTACCTACAGATGTTTGAGAGCACATGTGGAGATGCCATGGTCGGAGCAACTGCCATGATCTCAGTGTTTGGACCTCAGTACCTGAGAAAACCAACTGTGACAGACACCGAGAGGCTCTTGGCAATCTCAGAAGTAAGAGGGTGGCCTGGTTTATTTGGATCACTTGGCTGGATGCATTGAAAATGAAAGAACTGCCCAAAAGCTTTACAAGGCAATATCAGAGTGTTAAGAAGTCCACCATCATTCTTGAAGCAGTTGCATCGCAAGATTTTTGGATTTGGCAATGCCTGGGTCTCACAATCACATCAATGTGCTGCGGTGTTCACCATTATTTTCTAGGCTTACTGAAGGAAAAACTCCTCCTAGCCACTATACTGTCAATGTCATGAGTACAACATGAGCTACTTTCTGGTTGACGGTATATATCCTCCGTGGGCTACCTTTGTCAACATCATCTCTAACTCAATTGGCCATAATTTTTTTGCTTTGCCAAAAACAAGCAGCTAGAAAGGGCGTTGAGAGGGAATTTGGAGTTATACAGGTACGTTTTGCAGTTGTTCATGGACCTGCTAAACAATATGATTCGGAGACCTTGTGAGAGGTGATGACCTGTTTTGTGATAATGCACAACATGGTCATGAAGGATGAGGGTGAGGATGCTGCCGCGGGTATTGAATTTGAGAACATGTGTGCTCCTACCAAACTTCTAGACCAGAATCCGGCCACATTTGATGAGTTTGTTCAGATGCATCAACAAATTCAGCATCGAACAACTCACGAGCAATTGAAGGAATATCTGATTGAGCATCTGTGGACGGTTAAAAGGGACAACAATATTGGAGTGTAATATTTAAACTTATTTAAATTAGAACCAATGTTGTATTTGAACATTTGAACTACTCTATATATGTAACTATTTGAGTGTGCAGGCTTTTAATATTTTTAGGCCAGATGTATGCAGGTAGTGTTGAATTGTCGGCTTTCACATCCATGTCCGCGGACTGGTCTCTCTGTCCACTGACGGATGCGAGAGCAAACTTGCGGGTTAGCCTTGAAGTTGCCCTAACTGCATCTACATCCGTATTTATTAAATTTGGCACCTTAGCGCCTGGACGTGTCCGCGGACAGTGATTAATCAATCCTACAGCCGTCGCATCCATAGCTATGTAAGCTATTCTTATATACGGTACACTAAATCCATATATTTAAACAAACTAAAATTACTAAAGTCATCAATGAAACAAACAGACATTGAAACATCACAGTTGACGAACAGAGATCTTCTAAACTAAAATCACTAAAAATGCACATTTAAACGGAGAGGGGTGAGCACCTTCACATCACTTTCTCGCCGGTCCTTTGCCCTTCCGGTCACCCGAGTGGTTGTAAGCCTGTAACCCTCCGCGTAGACGTCAAAGTCGTCAGACGAGGAGTCAATGTAGCCGGCCATCCTCCAGACGACGCGTTTTTGCTGTTTCGCCAGCTTCGTGGCTTTCACTGCTTCCACCGCCTTCTCCACCACTTTGCACTCCGATTGCTCAATACCGAGCCGGAGCGCCTCGGCATTTGTCCGATGGAGCCGACACACGTCTGTGTTCGCGGTCATCAGTGAGCGGTAGAGAACAACCGCGAGGAGCTTCTCCTCCGCATTAGGCTCCAGCAAACTGCATCAGCAACGGGAGGAAGATGCATCCGCCTCTGCCGCCGCCGTCCTCTCCCTAGCCCGCTGCCTCTTGCGGCGGGTTGCGCACGCCTCCCATTTTGATGTCCGTGCCCGCGGCATGGGCACGATCACCCAGTAATGCCCGTGAGGAGCTGCTGCCGGAGTGGGAGAAGAAGGGCGTTGGGCTAGTGGAGTGAAGAAGGCCGAGAGCACGGAGCTGACCGCATTGCACGAGGGGCCAGCGCCGGCATCTGCGTAGCGGCGCTGGGCGACAGGGGATGAATTAGAGCCCAAGCTGCCGCTCGTGTCGATCGCTACAACGCGATACAAAGTGCTAGCTCCACATCGTCGCCCCAGTCCACCTCACGGACGAAGGCATCCAAGTCGTCCTCGATGCCGGATTCGGCGTCGCCGCCGTTGTTGGTGCTCGACAATGGGACGGAGAAAGGAGGGGAAAGGACAGAGAGGGGAGGGAATCAATGGAGAGCAGAGCGAAGGGTGAGAGAGTGTGCTAGGGTTTGGTCAGGTGGGATTTTTACTTTTTGAGTGGGAATTGAGTGGGGTACGTGCGGGCCAGGGTGGACCGGACTGACATGGCGAGCGTGACCAGACGCGTCCGGCCGTCTTATATCCACGATAGATTTAGGCTGCATATGAGGGTTGCCGATCAGCCCAGGCATATATGGGTTGTTTGAGGAGTTCATTGGGTCGGGAAAAGTGATAGGTCACTGACCGTGCCGTCCTCCTGGTCAGTATTGGGACCCCAGCTGTAGATGCTCACATGTAAATTTTTATTGTTGGTATCTGGGATTATGGACACAGAGTTGAGTGGAGATTTCTAGGGAGCTTTAATAAACTGAGTTTGTACGGTAACTGGCCAGCTTTGGTGACAGAGTGTTCGAGTTCTATGAGATATTCTGTGTGCAATGTTGAGATCCTCGCTCCATTAAATTATTTTGAGGTGGGTCAGGCAAGTTGATTCTTCAAGTCTATCTTTTTAAGGGTAATTCAAATCCCTATCTGTTCCTCTTCATAGCTGATGGTCTTTTGAGTATTTTGAACTCCTCCCTCCGTTACAAAGTTGAGTCATCTATTTTAAAACGGAGGAAGTATGAAATAGGGGTAATACATTATCTCTAACAAAGATTGCAAAAATTAGTCACGGAATCTCAGCTTGTTCTTCGTTGACGACATTCTCCTCTTGTTCAAGGTCACTGTTGAGCAAGCTAATCTAGGTTTTTTTTTACCGTATCTGGTATGAGAAGCAGTAGAATTTTCTCTTGTTCAAGGTCGCTGTTGAGCAAAGTAATCTAGGTTTTTTTACTGTACCTGGTACGAGAGCGAAGACACTCATACCGGATCTCCTCTTCTCTTTAAGAAAGTTCGGAGGCTTAAGACACTGATCTGATATGAGGCGCGACACGAGCATGGTTATGCGTGCTAGCCTTGTTATTTGTATTGGGCATCTTTGAAATTTTTGCGTAGCTTTGGTACAAGGAGCAGCGAACGCGGCTGTTTGTAACATCCCGATTTTCTGGTATGACTGGCGGTATAAGCATGGCCACTCGTACGTACCTCACGCCGTCTTCTTCTATGTTGCCTTTAGATAACACATTCTTTCCTTTCCATTCAAGCCCCACATGTTATCTTCTAAGGCATGTTTCTTCTACAAAACATGATCTCCTAGAACTTATTAAACATCAAAGTGATTTATTGGTAACTAAAATTTATTATTTCCTTTCAATCGATTACCTTTGGGACTGTACTACACCGCTAGCCTCCAATCCTGACACATGGAGCCTCATTGTCATGCTAATCCTATGGATCTGGAAGGCGAGAAACACCAAGGTTTTTCGTGGAAACGACATTCATTCAGTCATCTCCATAGATGTATGATTGATGATCTAGACCTCTGGACACATAAGAATTAAAAAAGACGGCACTCCTCTCCTCACACTTGCGCATTTCTATGTAATTCTCGTGAGCTTGTGTAATTGCTCTTGAACCGACTACCCCTTTTGAGC